GTAATCCGCATTGCAATCCAATGTCAAAACCCCGCTGATCCGTCAAACCTTGTTGAAGGCTCGAAACGTCTTGCCTAAAGTGATCCCATGTTTCAGAAAACGACGGAGAAGTCCGGTTAGCACACCAACGCAGGTGCTGATGATGAAACTCATCTAAACTATCTCCAAGAGGATATTGTTTGCATTCCTTTAAAGATGGAAGATTTGGAAATAAAGTGTTCAATGTATGGTTTTTCACATTTCACGCTAAACTCCGTAATTTTGTATTAAATTATAAATTGGTCGTACCCACCATGTCTTCGTTCACTACATTACTAGTATAACATGAAGCAGCATATAAAACAATTTATGCCGTAATAAAGTCTTGTAATCAAAGCAAAATATTGTAAAAAGTTAAATGTTTATTGCAGTTGCTCATTTTCATCCCGCGAATAAAATAAATAAAGATGCCCTAGTGTATACATACTTATACATCTTTGGAACTTTGATCAGATTACTTAAAGGAAAAAATAAAGAAGAAACTTACTCTTAGAAGAAAAAAATATTTTAAAAAGTATATTCAATTAAGTTAGTTCAGTTATTATGGTAAAACAACAACATCAACAACAACAGCATCTATTTAATTGTCTTGTTTGTCAGAATTCTGTTTCTATAATACAACTACTGCTATTAATACTAATAATTATTAGTTACCAATGAAATAGATTTTTGAACGCTTGAAATAACACAACAAATAATGACTGTAATTATTTATATGTAATAATAATAATAATAATAATAATAATTATTATTATTATTATTATTATTATTATTATTATTATTATTATTATTCACTTAGTATTACTTGTTTGAATCTTCCCATTGATGTTTAGGACTGCAACTGGTCAGTCTCTTGTCCATCTTTGCTTATAATTGTTATTACTATTGTTATTATTAGTAGTAGTACTATTAGTAGTATTGATATTAGTAGTAGTAGTAATAGTAGTAGTATTAGTAGAAGTAGTAACGTTTGTAGTAGTAGTAGTAGTAGTAGTAGTAGTAGTAGTGAAGAGCAAAGATAAAATACTACCGGATGATATGGAGTAAAATAAATAACTAAATAAATGAACTGAACAATGAATTATTATAATACAAACTTTCATAGGAACAAAAATGATTATATTATTCTGTTTTTTGTTTGCTTCTTTTGTGTCGAATAATTATTTTATCGTTGAATAAACATTAACGATTCCATACATAAATGGGATTCATAAAACACGAGTAAAACCATTTCAGTTTGATCAACCAACCAATCAATAATAATTCAATTTTGTTTGCATTTATTATGATAAACTAGAATTACCTGGACAAATTGTAGTAATGTATTCGTTGTTATGATAGATATTTAACCGAAATAGATATAAAAAGAAATAATTGCATGTAACAATTATGGATAAAAATATATTTTTACAATTAACCATTTGCTTTTGGGGATAAGATCATGATTGGAGGTAGTTAACAGGAAACCCTGGACCTAGGTTTCGTACTGCTTGGCACTTGTCAGCGAGGTGTACCTATCATCTTGAGGGAACTGATGCTTCCTGACGGGTTCGATCTGCACTAAGAAGGACCTGACATGCATGAGATCGATCCCCACCTAATGATCAGTCAATTGTAGATACATCTCAGCCCTACAGAAGGTCAGCCGCGGCCCGGATAGCTCAGTGGTAAGGTCTCTACCTGTGAAGCTGGGTGACATGGAATGAAATCTGTCAGAAAGCGTCAGTTCCTTCAAGATGATAGGTACACCTAGCTGACAAGTGCCAAGTATCACGAAACCTAGGTTCAGAGTTTCCTGTTGCCATCTTAAACCAATATAGTGCATACAATGTCGAGCCACCTAGACTGGTGGCCAAATTGCAACTTGATTGATAGGATTCGGTTTGCACTAAGAAGGACCTGACATACATGACATTCATTCCCACCTAGTGATCAGGCAATTGTAAATATGCTTTTTATTCATATAAACGAAGAATATTCTTTAAAACAGGTTCAATGTGAAGAAAAAGAGAGAAATTGAAAACGATTGAAAATTAGAATGAATTGAATAATTGTTTTTGGATTAGTCTTCATGTGTTTCAACAATCACTTTTAACGAATCCATAATGAATAGGATTTATAAGTTTACAGTATCTGTGGTGCATTCATAAATTACAGAATAACTAGTTCACTGGAATTAAACGATATAATATTAAACAATTTTAACTGCTCAATAATTAAATGTCATTGAAAAACAGTCTTTAACTGTAATAAAGTAACAATTCGTTTTCAAAATAAAACGGTACAAAATTCGAAATACATGGAACCCAGGAGACTCGTTTCGTCCTATTCTGGGCCTGCATTCCAGGGTTGATGTTCACTCTGAGACTCTAACTCAGTACCGTTTGCTTCAAACGTCATGGCATTATCCGCTTAGCTACTGAGTCCTGATAGTCACTAACCTGTACAATAGGGTGAAGTTTAAATTCACTTGATATTGTTTACTTGAATGTTCCCATTGATGTTCAACACTGCAATTGATCAGTGTGTTATTGACATATGTGCATACTGTACGGATAGCCCCGATATTGCCCTAACTCACAAGCACCATAATCTGAGATGGTGGTAGCCAGTAGAGAAACAAAATGGGCGTCCTGGATTTCATTGCTAGTCACTATCCATCTTTGCTTATAATGCTTGTGAATTAAGACAATATCGAAGCAGTCCTTATACGATGCACAAATGTTAACAGGAAACTGATCAATGACAGTGCTAAACATCAATCGGAAGATTCGAACAAACAACACAGAAATCAATTAAAATTCAAAATAATTTTTTATGATGAACTGAATAAATAGTAACCCAGCAATTTGAATATCTTCAATTAGTATCCTTTTACATTGATTGGGTCAAATTACATGCTGTTAAATCATAATAATTTGTGAAATTTTTAATGTTACGTACATTTTATAAATGAACCAAACTATTTAAATGACTTATTTAAAAAGAAATTACTATTTCTTTTTGTCATCCAACTAACTAAACATACTTGATATAATTTAGTAGTGTAAAGGGTAATTGAAGGGAACTGTAAATTGAAACCAGAACTCATCAGCAGTACAATTGAACTTTACTCGATCACGATCACAGTTACAAGTTTTAAAAACGGTTAGAAGTTAAGTCATTAAGATTGCGAACTTCAAATATGATCATGTTTCTTTCAGAATGATAACTAAATTAAAAGAAATGCTTTGACAATCCAATAAATAAAAACAATCACTAAATAAACAAAGATGGTTAGTGGCTAGCAGTAGAATCCAGGACGTGCGTTTCGTTCTATTTGAGACTTGTCATCTGGATGTACCTGCATCTCAGAGTTGATGTTTACCTGGGACTCGCTTCAAACGCCATCGCGTTAGCAGGTACATACAGCTGACGAGTCCCAAATAAAACAAAACGCGCGTCCTGAATTCCACTGCTACCCTCTATCCATCTTTGCTTATAATGCTTGTGAATTAAGGCAATATTCAGGCAATACGCACAGTTGCACATATGCCAATAAGAGACTGACCAGTTGCAGTCCTAAGCATCAATGGGAAGATTCAATCAAACAATAATAAGTGAATTCAATCACTAAATATTTTTCTTTTTTTTCTTGAAAAGTTCTTTACGAATCATTTCATGGTATTTGTCAGATGAAAAGATTCTTTAGATCATATAGTTCCATGCTATGTGAATTGTAGTAGCTTGTTTTAATAGGGAATGGATAGTATATAATTTTACATATTACGTTTCAATTTATATATATATATATATATATATATATCATTGGAATGAAAACAGAGTTCTGATTAAATCGAAATACTTTGATGAACTAAGTAAATTGAAAGAATTAATTAACAAACTATTACCGTAAACCTTAGTTTGAAGTGGGTAGATATACTGAAATCATTCTTTAAAAAATAAATAAGTTGCTAACCACGTATTACTTGACAAATATGATGTATTAATTGAAAGAAACAGTGTCATACATCTTTTGACAAACTGTACAATTGATTTCAAGATTCGACAAAGATTATTGAATATGTAAAGCTATTGATCGAACCAGATTCTAGTGGAGGAAGAAATGAAGAAGAAGCGCTGGAAGTGGATTGGGCACACTTTGAAGAAATCACCTAATTGCGTCACAAGACAAGCTCTCACATGGAATCCTCGAGGGTGAAGGGGAAAAGGAAGACCAAAGAACGCATTACGCCGGGAAATAGAGACAGACACGAGAATGTACAAAAAATGGATAGAACTAGAAAGAAAGACCCAGGACAGTGTGGGTTGGAGAATGGTGGTCGCGACCTATGCTCCATTGGTAGTAACAGTAGTAAGTAAGGGAGTAATTCAATAAACTTATATTATCCACCATTCTCAGACATTGTTGAGTTTACTTGATGGATGATTACTGCGTATAAGAACATACTCTTTTTCATTAAGGATTTCATTTTACTCATGTATAGCTAACTACATATGTTATCTCTAGGTCTATCAGATTGTTCGGACGTTCCATTTACCTATAAAAATTGTTGCTCTGGTTGTTAGAAGGGGCATCGGCCTCGTGACTCCCGAAGAATATCGGCTTTCATCATCAGTCGTCATAATTCTTCCTTCAACTCAGAGAACAGAGATTAAAGGGTTTGAATAATATTTTCTGATTAGGATTAGGGACGCTAACCCCATGCCCAATCCTCCTCCTTTATCCGGGCTCCGGACCGGCAGTAGCCCCCGGAAGGGCTAGTTTATCGTTATTTCAATGAGTGGTTACATCAACGTTAATCACTAAAAAAAATCATGATTAACATTACTTTTTATATGCATTTTTCATTGAATACATAATCCATAATGCAAATGGATTCAAACTATTGTAAAACAATCAAACATTACTTCATCCATTAAAAGATTAATAAAACAATATGCTCAATAAAATAACTTACAAGCAAATGCTTCATTCTTCACAGATTTCTCAGAATGTTGATAACTCATCTTCTTTGTTTTTCAAAAATTATTTTGTACAAAACCTTTATTACGTAATAAGTTCATTAAATAATGTCCAACACATAAAACGAAAAAAACATCCCAGACAATGGATGAAGCTTTATTTCATGTAAAAGTATTATCTTTGCATAATTCTGAAACAATCAAGTAGAATACGGGAATATAAAACATTCCCTTATAATTTGCATAATCCCTCCTAATTTCTTATTGGTTAGAAATAATTACTATAAACTGATTGATTGGGTGGCAAACTTAAAGTTAAATAAACAGAGATAATCTGAAGTGACATATATATATATATATATATATATATATATATATAGCTACACAAAGCCAAGATTTCCCCTAATAAACTTATTTGAATTATGCTTTCACATTCTCCTAAGCTCAACAAGCAATTGATACATCAATCTCAAAGTTATTTTTCTCTAATTTTCTTTTTTCAAATTCTATAGTCATTTGTATGGTAATTTTGTTTATTTATCCCCCCCTATTATAAATGACAAAAGCGAGAAATCTGTGAAAGTTTTGTAATCTATTGTATCTTTCCAAGTTACATAATAGAATGACCCACTTTTTCTTGTTATCTTCGCTTAGTTTTTCGAGTTAAGTTCAAAAATTTCATTTTTGATTATCAACTTATGAACCATATTGTCCATTAAACTTAGTTGAAGATAAAAAAAGAACGATTACTTCTGAAATTCAAAAAAAAAACTCATCATGTTTCCTTTTACATTTCTGTTAGTGTCTTAAATCGGAATCTATCCAAGTTTATCAAATAATTCTGGTTTATTTAAAATATACATAAATGTTACTGAAAAACATGAAGTAATCATTGTTATTTAATGTCAAATAGTTTCCAGTTAATAACTAGAATGTATGTAGCACATTTAGTAGGTAAGGTAATTTGTTAAAGCCTAAATTAGACTTTTGATTAAACATGGTTGTTTGGTGTAATTCAATTAATAAGTTAAAGTTACTAATTCATGATGTTAGTGTAGGGTTATTGAGACTGTTGAATTTCGTTGAAATCATGGATGGACCGATGTCAAACAACTATTGAAAACATGGAAGCTCTTCATGGACTTTTTTGTCACTAGTATAGGAATCCTCAGCAATGTGCACCCATGGCCATGCGAGAGGTAACAGAACCAATAACTTTAGGTCTCGCGTCCTGACGCATAACATCTAGACCATTAAACCAGCATGTACTGGTTTAAGTATAACTTCAATGTATTGACATCGTTGAATCTCGCTTAGCTCTTGATATGATAAGCTTTGGCTCGCGAAACCGAAGATTTTGGGTTTCATCACCTTTTGTGGGGCCATGGAGGGATCCTGTGTTAGTACAGAACGAACGTGTAGTGCTTCCAGATTTTCAACGGTTGTCTAACTTTGATCGGTTCATGATTTCAATTAAAATTTTCATGTACTGTATTAAAGTGTTTTCGTTACACAAATTAATCAAACCGCAGTAAAATACATCTTCTACTCTAATGTCATTAGTCAGTTTTAAATGTCATGTACGATTACTACAATTTATTTGGTTGATTAAAACTGCTGAATTTATGAAATTATTTCGATCGTTTGAATAGACTGCCTGAATTCTCTCCAACTCCGTTTATTTATCAATTCAACTGACTTTGTACACTTAGTTATAATTGTGGTACAGGGAGTCTTCTTTTAAGAAATTTAAAGCAATTAGTCCCTTTGATAAATTTCAATAATGTAATGAGAAGACGAAGATTATCAGATTGTCCAAAATGTATTGCGCCAATATATCACATAGTTCTGATAATCTTCGTCTTCTCACTACATTATCAAAATTGTGGTACAGTCAAAACGTTCTACCATTGCATCGACGAACATCATCTTACTCGGTTTAACAAAAGACTATTAAAAGTGAGATTAAGAGTTTTATTTTCGATTAACTGGTTTATATTGGAAGTCCAATGATTATAAATTATACAACTTATTTTTCTCTTTTCTTCGTTATCTTTTTTTAGATACACTGTTGATTCAGCATTTCTACTTTAGTAAACATGAAAAACTTTATCCACTATTCACCAAGAACATTTTCTACAAAAATAATTAGTTTTCACAGGAATTGGAAAAGCAAATAATATTTCTGTGTTCAGTATTACACAATATTACACTACTTGTTATTTGAAGGTATTTGACACATAACGTCAAATCTTTTTTTTCTGTTTTTTGGTACCCATCAATAATGTATGCTAGTAATCGTAAAGTAACTAGTGTCTCCTGACAATTTACCGTGTTTGAACTCAATATAATGAAGAACCATATGCATTTTATCATGTTATGTGTATGATGTTATCAGGGAGTATGGCAAACCATTTAATGAAAATGTGACAGTAGTGACAATAGTTTAACGTGAACTGAATAATTAAACATTTTGTATTTAAAGTACTAATATTAATGACAAAAATATTTTTTAATATTTCAAGGTTGTCTGGATATATCAATTTATATATGTCTCCCGGACTTTTATACAACGTCTATCGGTGTACATAATATAATGAAATATTCAAAAGCTGGAAGAATTATTAAGCATAAATTGGCAAAATCTATGTAACGTTATCAGCGCTGATAGGAGAACCTTATGACACCTTCTTGAATATTACGGTATAAATGAAGAAAATCTAGCACTCAAAACAACTGTCACACATCACCAAGGTCAGAATTATTTAATAAAAAGTGTTAAGATAGTTCTATCATACGAAAGTGAAACCTCTAGAACTACTACACCCATCATCAAGGAGGTAAAGGGATTTGTAAACAAGTGTCTGAAAAAAATGCCCCAGATCTGTTGGTCGAATACCAACGAAATTCTGTGAGAGAAAACGAACCAGCTTACTGCTAAAGAGGAAATAAGGAAAAACTCCTGTTGGTGAGTTGGTCACACTTTGCAAAAACTATCAACTGCACCATATAACAAGCTCTAACTTAGAATCATCAAGACAAAAGGAAAAGGGTCAAATAAAAGAACACATTGCACTGGTTATTGAAGGCAAACACCAAACTGAATGATAACTGTACTAATTGTTTATCAAAAAGGGGTAACAGTGATTGTTGAAAAAAAAACATTTGTCTATAAATATTTTAAATTTTTTACATTAAAATCAACTAGAAATGTTTGTTAAAGAACTTTTGAAAATCTGTTAGCAACGATTAGTATAAGTACAGATGAGAACAACACTTATATAATGTTACATGACTGGGTGTTTTAATAAAATTTATTTGCATGAAACATGTGCACAACATACTCCTTTCTCAGTTAATATCATTATTAGCTTATGCCAAATTTAGATAGTGATTATATGTTTATATATTCGTCCGATTCCCGCCTCATATAAAACGTACTGTTGTTTTGAAGGATAGACCTTATAAGTTGTAAGCTAATATTTGTTTGAATTGAAACATGGTCAAATATACCTATTTTCAAGAAACTGTTACTTATCCTGATATCTGAAAGCATCTTACTCAGTGTCACATGTAAGAATATTATTATTGAGCTCTTTAGCGAGAGAATGGCTTTCTTCGAATGTAAAGTTCACTTATTTATTGATTACTAGGTATAAACCAAACTCCGCCTGTGGCTCTTCTAGAGCTACTGCTGATCCCAAGCCCGGGTAAAGGAGGAAAGCTAGGTAAGGGGTTAGCGACCTAATCCCGTAGAAAACTAAACCACTAAAAAAAGCTAACCAGAAAATATTATTCAAACCATTTAAACTCTGCCCTGGGAATTGAAGGAATAATTATGACGCTTCATGATGAAAGCAATGAGATTCTCCAGAAGTAACGAGGCCGATGCACCTTCTAACACCCAGGGCAACAACTTTTATAAGTACATGGAACGTCCGGACAATGTGGTAGACTGGGAAGACCAGTCAAATAGTAACGGAAATGAGGAGATACAAAGTGGCAGTACATGGAATCATCGAAACTCATTGAACCCAAGCTGGACAGCTAAAGCTAGGTACATTAGAGATTCTGCCGTACTCTGGTCACGAGGAGGAAAATGCTCCACACACTCAGGGAATTGCTGCGATGCTGTCCAGAGAAGCAAGAAATGCACTTGTAGGGAATCTGATGGATCAAGGATAATCAAAACAAAGAAGGAGGGAATCACAATGAATGTTATCAAATGTTATGCACCCACCGATGATAGCAACGAAGACGAAGAAGGTCAGTTTTATGAAAGGTTGCAATCAATCATAGCTAAGTGTCCAAGAAAGAACCTCAAAATCCTGATACGAGATTTAAATGCTAACGTCGAAGAGGAAAACACAGGATATGAAGATATAGTGGGACGACATGGACTGGGAGAGAAAAATGAAAATTAGGAGAGAGTTGCAAATCTATGTGCATTCAACAAATTGGTTATATGAGGCAGAATATTTCCACACAAACGCATACACGAAGCTACATGGATCTCGCCGGATCACACCACAGAGAACCAGATAGATCATATATGTATCAACAAAGAATTGTGAAGGACAATGGAAGATATGACAACCAGGATAGGAGCTGACATAGCCTCAGAACATTACCTGGTTGTAGCCAAGATGAAACTGAAGCTAAAGAAACACTGGACAATCGGGGAAATAGCATTACAAAGGTTCAATACAATCTTCCTTTGAGATACTAACAAACTCAACGAATTTAAGATAACTCTCAAAAACAGGTTCCAAGCTCTACAGGATCTACTGAACGAAGAAGAGAATCAATGGAGGACAACTGGAAAGGGATCAAAGAAACATTAACTTTAACGTGTCAGGAGGTACTGGGTCGCAAGAAACATCATCATAAGGAATGGATCTCTAATGGAACCCTAGACAAGATTAAAGAAAGAAAGAAAGAACAAGAAAATAACAATTAGCAACAGTCGAACATGAGCAAAGAAAGTCAAGGCACAAGCAGACCACGCAGAAGCAAACAAGCAAATGAAGAGCATTAGAGCCGACAAGCGGAAATAAATGGGCGCACTAGCAACGACGGCAGAAAAAGCTGCAAGAGAAGGGAATATGAAACAACTATATGATACAACGAAGAAACTAGCAGAGAGATATTGTAAGCCGGAGAGACTAGTCAAGGACAAAAAAGGAAAGACAATCACGGAGATTCAAGAACAGAGGAAAAGATGAGTAGAGTACTTCGAAGAACTGCTGAATAGGCCAGCTACACTGAATTCACCGAACATCAAAGCAGCACACACTGACCTTCCTATATCTGTCACTCCACCAACGATCGAAGAAGTCAAGATGGCCATCAGACAAATCAAGAATGGGAAGGCAGTAGGAACTGACAATATATCAGCTGAAGCACTGAACTCAGACAGTGAAGTAACAGCAAACATACTTCACTTTCTATTCAATAGGTTTTGGGAGGAAGAAAAAGTGCCAACGGACTGGAAAGAAAGAAAACTCATCAAGATACCAAAGAAGGGAGATCTGAGCAAATGTGAGAATTACAGAAGAATCACTTTGTTGTCAGTTCCAAGAAAAGTTTTCAATAGACTGTTGCTGATGAAAGACGCAGTAGACGCTCAACTTCGAGACCAACAGGCTGGATTCCGTAAGGATCTGTCGTGAGCAGACCGAATTGTGACACTACAGACCATCGTTGAACAATCGATTGAATGTTAGTCGTCACTATACACCAACTTTGTTAATTGTTGGATAGCATTT